ATTTTTTTCTTTACAGGATGTCAGATAAGGATATAACCTGACTATGGAATTAATTACTGTACTACACTTTAGAAAAAAATCTAAATCATGTAAATACATTTGTGTAAAAAACAATTCTGTGGTACCAGTCACAAGAATAATTTAGGTCAAAATAATATAAATTCTATGTTCCCTGCAGTCAAACTCAAAGTGTATGTTGCTTGTTGTTTTTCTTTTTTTATATTGTTTGATTTTAACGTGTTTATAACAATAGAATTTTTCCTAATATATGCTGACTTTCTTGTACACAATTTTAGAGAAGAAGAAGGAGCAGAGCATTTGCGAAAACGAAATACAAAGTTGCCTTTTACATTCACCACTGGAGAAGCTGTGTTGTATGAGGTAACCAACCCTTTTCCTGCCATACTGGATCCCTTACCAGTAAGAACTAAAAACGGCACAAGTGGAAAAGACTTTGCTACCAAGTCAACTCTCAACAAGGACTCTCTCAATCCTAGTTCCCTCCTGGCTGCCATGATGCAACAGGATGAGTCTATTTATCTCTATCCTGCTTCAAGTACTTCAAGTACTGCACCTTTTCAAAGAAATTTTTTTAACGAACCTGTGAGTGAATGCAGTAATTGGCAAAACAATATTGCACCAATGGGAAATGTTAATATCCTGAAACATGAGCAAATTGATCAGTCTCAGGAAATGAATCCAGCATTCTCTGGAGGTCACACAGAGCTCTTTCAAGATAAAAATAATGACTTGTACAGCATTATGAAAAACCTAGACATTGATTTTGAGGATATCAAACACATGCAGGATGAAAAATTTTTCAGAAATGACTTTTCTGGTGAGGTTGACTTCAGAGACATTGACTTAACAGATGAAATCCTGACATATATCCAAGATTCTTTAAATAAGTCTACCTTCATGTGTTCAGATTACCAGCAGCAACAGTCCATGGCTCTTAACTCGAGCTGTATGGTACAGGAACACCTACAGTTAGAACAACAACAGCAGCAGCAGCTACAGCATCACCAAAAGCAAGTAGTGGTGGAGCCGCAGCACCAACTGTGTCAGAAAATGAAGCATATGCAAGTTAATAGCATGTTTGCAAATTGGAACGCTAACCAATCTGTGCCTTTCGGTTGTCCTGAGCAAGACCTACAACAGTATAATGTCTTTGCAGACTTACATGGGACCAATCAAGAGTTTCCCTACAAATCGGAGATTGATACTATGCCTTATACACAGAACTTTATTTCCTGTAATCAGTCTGTGTTACCACAACATTCCAAATGTACAGAGTTAGACTTTCCTATGGGGAGTTTTGAACCATCCCCATACCCCACTACTTCTAATTTAGAAGATTTTGTCACTTGTTTACAAGTTCCTGAAAACCAAAAGCATGGAATAAATCCCCAGTCAGCCATAGTAACTCCTCAGACATGTTATGCCGGGGCGGTGTCAATGTATCAGTGCCAGCCGGAACCTCAGCACACCCACGTGGATCAGATACAGTACAATCCAATAATGCCAGGCCAACAGGCATTTTTAAACAAGGTAAGGCTTTTATCAAACTGAATAAATTCTTTCAGTGATTCTTCTTACCTTATAAATAAATAGACATGAGTTACAAATTTTTCATCATTGATTTTAATTGATTGTAGTGTTCATGGAGATAGCATTTTTAATTATATCTGTGATTACTTTTTTAAAATAAACCTTTGCTTTTTTCAGTATGTTATTAATATATCATTTACCTGAATGATGAAGGAAAAAGAAATCGAGGGCTAAATCAACATGAATATGTCTTTAATGTAAGGTGAACTAAATTACCAGGTGAAATTAGTTAAAAGTATTATATTTAAAATAGAGCATTTGATTTACCCTTCTTGATTCTTTAAAAAATTATGTGGCTTTTTAAAAATTCAAACTGTAAAAATATATATTTGAATTTTTAAGAATAATTTCTTCAAAGCTCAATTTTTATATATATGCTTGAAATTGGGTTAAAATCAAGTATAAGTGTGCTTTCTTCAAATGCCTTTGTCCTGGATTATCCTTGGAATTGAGTCCTAGGCTCCCTTTTGTTCTCTGGCTATTCCTCCATGCTATACCCAATCCTCGTGTTATCCTTTAAGGTAGAATTGCTTTTTTTTTTCCCCTGGCATTTTTTATAAAGGGTAACTCAGCTGGCTTTCTATCATGGAAATCAAGCTTAGTATTGTATTTTTATTGTTTAAACATGTCATCAGAACCCATCTAGAAGTGAGCATACTTTCACTAAATCTAAAAATGATTTTTCTTTTGAAAAGTTAACATAAAGTTAACTCTCTGGCCATCTAGGAATATATCATGTTGCATTCATGCTTTTGCATTAGAAAATATTTAGTTCATTTTAAAGTATATTTAAGTTTAGTTTTAAAGAATATCTTGACTAAAGTTAAGTTCGTTGTTGTCTATCTACTATGTATCAGAGTGTAATAATTTAAAAATAGGACCTGAATCTTTATTTCTGATTGGTTTCTTATGGCTTTTTTCATACATTTGCTTTGATTGTATATGAACTTTCTAATAGAAAATGAT